AGCCCCAGCACTCACCTGCGAGCGAGCCGACGACAACGCACGCCAGGATCACGGGCAGCACCACGTTCGCAGCGTCTGCAAGGAGAGGATCCGCAGGCTCTGCAGCCAGACCGAATTTAACCCCCTACCCACACCCTCCAAGCAAAAACCTGCTGCCAGGCAGGGATGCAGAGGCACCAGGCAAGAGGCGATGTTTTTGGGGGCTATTCCCCCTGTTTCTTTTCCTGGGCATCGGGAAGAAACCCTCACTCACTCTGGACGTGGAGCAGGAAGAAGGTTTCGTTCTGGCTGACTTCGTTGCGGACCACGCAGGCGTAGTAGCCGCTGTCGTTCATCGACGCTTTAACGATGCACAGGGTGCTGTTGTCAACGAACTGGATGTGGTCGCTCCCCAGCAGCAGCTCCCCGTTTTTCTTCCACCAGTAAAAGTCCGCCTTCCCTTCCAGCACGTTGCAGACCAGTTTGGTGTTGCCTCCTGCCTTCACCGACGAGTTGCCCACGATTTCGGGCTCGGACAGCGGTTCTGGGAGAGACGGAGAGACCGTCAGCATTCAAACCCGCGGCTCCCCGGATGCCAGACCCGGAGCACCTTCCTCCGCAGCGATTCAAGCTCTCCGGCTGCGGCGGAGGGTTTGCTATCCCATCACTCACCGACAACGCGCAGCTGGAACCAGCCCGTGGCCTCCGACTCGGACCTGACCCGGTACAGCCCGTCGTCTCCCCGCCGCAGCACCATCTGCAGCGAGAAGTCCGTTTCGTTGAACTTCGTGCGATTCTCGTAGGGGCGAGACGTGTTGGCAGGTCTGTCGAAAGCATAGCTGACGATGACTCCTTCCTGCGGGCCGGTTTTGTATTCCCAGAAGACAGCTTTGCTGGCGTTCAGCGGCGGTATCGTCAAAAGCACGGTGCAGCCCACGGCCGAGACAAGTCTCTCCGACGCCGGCCTGAGGTCAGCAGAGTAGCACGGAGAAAGCGTGCGGGCTGAAACAGAAATCAGGCGTTACTCTGCGGCTATCGAGACACAACTTCATCCGCCCGGGAGGTGGCTGCAGGAAGCCTCCCCGGCTCATATAGAATGGTTTGGGTGGGAAGGGACCCCCAGAGGTTACCCAGCCCAACCCCCCTGCAGGAGCAGGGACACCTTGAACCACATCAGGTTGCTCACAGCCCCGGCCAACCTGGCCTGGAATGGGGGGCCTCCACCCCCTCTCGGGGCAACCCCTGCCAGGGTTTCACCACCCTCACTGGAAAGAATTTCTTCCTTAGAGCCAGTCTAAACCTCCCCTGCTTCAGTTTAAAGCCATCCCCCCTTGTCCTGTCCCAGCTGGCCCTACTAAAAAGCTTGTCCCCCCCTTTCCTTACCCCTGGCTGTAAGCAGCGATGAAGAAGAGCAGACGGCCCTGACGGCTGCATGCGAGTTCCCTCCGTGGCTCTCGCCCGAAAACCGCGGTTGGTTTGCCTTACTGGCCAGCCCATGGATCTGCGCAGCTCCAGCAGCCCTTCGCCTCCCTCCCGCCCCCCCGGGGGCACAAACCCAGGGGCGGCCGAGCCCAACGAGCCCTCCCCGCGCATGGGCGCTTTCCCGTCGGATCCCTGCCAAGGAATTGCGCTAAGAGACAGGAAAGCCCTCGCGTCCCTTCCCGATCTTCCTTGGAAAGCTTTTGGCCGGGGAAAAGACCCGGCCTGCCCGAGTCTGGGACTTACCTTTGCTTCTTGTAAAAGCAGCCAGGAAAAAAAAT